GGCCCTGAGCTGTTCTGGAGAAGCCCAGAGTGGCCAGGGGTCAGGGAACACAACACACACACCTGCCCCGCCGCATACATGTGTAGAACTTTCATCATGTGCCCCAGTCAGACAATGAGGGGGTTTCAATTAAAAAGGGAGAGCAGCAACTGAAGAGCCCCAAGGAACGGAACAGACTGTCACCTTCTGTTCCTGTCCTGCAAACCTGAGACTGTGACCCATCTTCCAATTCTGTCACAAATGTGGAAACTCCCAAACGAGTTTTCAGTATCTGAGTTTTAAAGATGGACAGTGTAGATGGCAGGACACATGTGGCCGGTGGTCCAGAGGAGTGCGGATGGTGAATAGAGGTGTGGTTAAGTCAGCAGTGGCTGCATTTGGGAGACAGATGGACGGTCCCCTGGTATCAGCTGTGCTGCCAGCCCCCAGAGGAGCAGGACAAAAAGCTCTGCAGTAAAAACGGAGCCCGTGAAGGCGCTTATTTGATGGTGCCTTGGGGAATGAAGTCATTTTAGAAAGATAGTGCAGTAATGGAGAGAGAGAGAAAGAAGAGAGAGAGAGAGAGAGAGAGAGAGAGAGAGAGAGAGAGAGAAAGAGAGAGAGAGAGAGAGAGAGAGAGAGAGAGAGAGAGAAAGAGAGAGAACAGTGCAACTCCAATCAGGTGTTTAAGAGAAGCAGTGTATCTACGGTACAAATGTTGAAAGCCGTGATAATGCAAAAACTGTAAAAGCTTTACTAAAATTACTTGCAAAACCCTATGGGGAGGATCTGGGAAGGCAGAGGGGGTTTAAGAGCTAAAGCTTCTTTCTTTCTTTCTTTTTTTTTTTTTTTGTCTTTTTCCTTTTTATCGGTACCAGGGATCACGACTGCCTGCTTGCAAGGCAGGCTCTTATGCCGCTGAGCTAAATACCCAGCCCCGCTAAAGCTTCTTTCTAAAAGGGAGTAAATACAGGCCATGTTGGAAGTGCTAAGCCCAGACAGTTAGACATAAGACATTAATTAGAAGAAGAAGGGAGCTGCCCAAGGAGACGTCTATCAGAACACAAAAATCAGCTGCACCTGGAGTATGGGCTTGTGGGGGAGGCCAAGGGGCAGGCCAGGAAATATTTCGCACATATAAATATTTGGGGTTTTTTTGTTTGTTTGTTTAAATCATGTGCTTGTAGTGTCCTGACAATTTTTTAAGCATGTTAATACACATCCCTAAACATTCCCTGACATCCGGAATCAGCAGGTCTGGGATCACAGGAGCCTGCAGCTTTACAAAGCTTACCGTGTGATTCTGACAAAGTGAATTCTGTCCCCCCAACTCTACAAACCAGACTGTGGCAGCTACCAGTACCAGAGCAGTGCCATCGACCTGCTCACGAAATGAGGGGAGCTCTTTAACTGAAGGACGTTAGCTAAACATCTTTCCAACTCTATACCTTTCATGTAAGTCATGGTCCATCAAACCTAATTTTTAAAACCCTTTAAGGAATGTTAACAGGGTCTCTGGTGCCTGATGGCAGGGAGGTGTGGCTTACTTAATAATGAGAAGGAAGAAGCTTCCTGGGCATCACATTAATTTGTTCGGAGAAACCTTCTCTTGGAACACAACAGAACCATTGAGAATGGACTCAATTAGTTGTCAGAAACCAGCCAGCGGCTCAGTACCCTTGTATTTTCCTGTCTGCGAGCCCTTCCCAGGAGTTGAGGCCAATGGAGAAAAATTATTCAAATGTCCTGGTTTCTCTTGTGCAGAACTCTGGGTCAGTTTTTTGGCACAGTGGACTTTTCTTCATAGCCATATGAACTACTGACACAGCTTTCTTTATATTAGAGATCACCTACAGCTAAAAAATTTGTTTAAAATGTTTTCATGCATATTTCAATGCCAAACTATATGGGCCACTTTTAAACTATGATTTATCTCTTATATCTATTGTGTCGATATTACTTTCGTTAGGTCTTGAACCTTATTTTAAGTAGGAAGTCCTTGCAAAAAAGGAAAACAGTTTTGGTCCTAACATGCCCTTGTTTTTAAAATTTCATCTAGAAACTGGAAAGTCACTTTGTTTCTTTGCTTTAGTGGTGAGCTAGCTAATCCAAATATCATTTACTAGGCTCTACTGTGAAAAACTAATTCAGAATTTAGCCTGTGCAAATTTTACTTCGTCATTTACAAGAGCAAGTACCCATCTACCCACCCAAACACTTAAGGAGCACTCACTATATGCTCACTGCTATTTCACGTTCTAGAGGTACATAAGTAAACAAAACACCACTTTTTAAAGTTTGGTTTAACTGGCTGGAAATTTTTGAGAGTGGTTTTAGAATTGGTATAGGGAACTTTGTGACACTTTGTTTTTTAGAGGCTCGGTGATTATATGTCTTTGCTTGATGCTTGATAATCTTTATCACCTGTGTTGTGTCCCTTGTGTGTAATATGCCCTGCAGATGGACTACTGAGACATTACCACATCTTGTGACGGCATGGGGGCCTCTGTCCAGGTCTCCCCGCATGACTTTCATATGGTACTGCCCTTGCAATGTCCTTCCTCACACACCCACCAGCAAATGTCCATTCGTCATCTGGAACTCAGAATCATTCTGTCTCTGATGTTTTCCTTACACGGCTCCCCCCAGAATTCATCCACCTCCTCTGACCATTTCTACGTACTATTTCTACATCTATTTCCCCTGTACTATTTCTATATTCTACAATGAGATACTACCATTATTTTTACACTGCAAACTTGAGGGTAGGAACATGAGTGTCTCCCGTTTTGCATCTCTACTAATTAGCAAACTGTCTGTCACATACCAACTATTTTATAAACTGAACCTAAGTGCGATTCCCTCTATTGTAACTTGTGGAATGCCATAGAACTGTGTTCACACTTTAAAAAAATCATCTCAGAATTGGAGGTAAACATTACATTTTTAATGTCTGATAAACATTGTTTGTTCTATGAAACTTTTTTCCAGCAAGGGGAATTTCTATCCCCATAAAAGCCTGATAGCATTATTCAGTGAGCGACAAGCTTTGCTCTTCAAAAACTTCTGCTGCTGATCCGCACGCTCCTGACTGAGCTGACATGCTGTCGCTCGTTCAGATGGCTGTAGCCCTTCCCAGATGTGAACTCCTGAAAGCCAGGTGTGCATCTTCCATCCTTGCAGTCCTGGTGTGGGGCCATGACCCCTACAGCAAGGTGCTCGTGAAGTATTTGTTCAGTGTACAAACAGGAGACTAAACAGGAGACAGTGAATAGACTTAAATCCTTGGTTCTTCTCTTCCATTACGAATTTGTGATTTTCTTTAATGAAGAAAACCTGCTGAATTCTAAATAAAGTTTTGACTTTGTTGTTGAATAAGGCTCCTGAGGTTGTGTAGGTGTGGCAAATTAATAACACAAGTAGGAAAGGAAAAAGATTTACTGTACAAATATTTGTACTTTGTCTTTTAAATTTATGCTGACAGAAATCTTTTCTAGTTTTGAAACATGGAATCCTGGGTTCAATCAGAGAAAAGTAACTAGGTCCTTTATTTGGAAAATAAATAGATTTGTCAAGTTTTCACTGAAGTTCAAAAGCTCTCGTAATCATTTCTCCTCTTCTAAACTGCTACTAATTCCATAATTTTCTTGCATTCTAATAGGATAATTTAATCACTCTTTGACGTTTGTGAATTTTTTAGTAGCATGAAGGTACAGTTACCTGTAAAATATCACCAGGGGTGTTGTAGACTATCACTCTTGTAGAAAATTACGTATCTTGATTTTTACATCAGAAGTGTTTGCAAAATGTGGTTAGTTTCAAAACTTCATCCAAATTTTTAGATGTATAGGCACATGTATATCATTGTCACTTATTAAATGGTAATGAGTAATGAATTCACAGGTCATCATGCAAAAAGTTACTGATGTAGAATTTATTTCATAATTATAATATACTATTGGTGATGAGAACCTCAATTTTATGTCGTTTCTCTACACACAAACCCCTTAAAAACTCATGAAGATCTATCTGTTCCTAAGTACATAGGCCAGAACTTTCCCCCAAAAAGTAATTCTGTAGTTTGTGAACCACTAGTACCCTCTGACTTTATAAACTTGATACTTGAAATTAAATCAATGTTGCAAAAAAATGTGAAAATGGTGATATATCCTGTTTCTTTGCAGATATAGTTACTGGATTATATAATACTCTAAGGCATTTTAAAAATAACGTCACAAAATTCTTGAATCAGCATTTTATGTGCATAAGCTCAGCTTCAATTTCCTCATTTTTTTAGATAAGGAAATTAATATTTATAAGTTACAGGACTCATTCAAGGTTATGGGCCAGGCAGGCGAATTTAAAATCGGACCAGAATCAGACCTAGTTTATTACTTTTTTCTTTCCTCCATGAACTTTTCATATTTTACCTTTTCCTGTCCTTAACAATTTGCATCTCTATTTCCATGTGAAATTAATTTCAGTTATAATTTAGATGGATATCCAAGTAATTGTATATGAAATTAATCTGTAAGGTCTAGAAGAAACCCATATATTAAAATACTGCATGGAGACATATAAAGACTAATGCCATTTAAACTTTTTCTTTATGACCTCAAGATAGGCGTGCATTTTAAATACATAACCTGGGCGAGTTAGCATGAGAACACTACAAAATTAATATAGATTTAAAAATATCAGTGGCTGAATATGTCAGAAAAACATGAAATATTAATCATATCCCTAAGATGGAGATCTGGAGGTAAATTAGAGAGTTGTCAACTCTCAAGCATACAGTGAATCCAGCAATCAAGAGGGCCAGTCTGAAACAGAAGGAAAAATAGTACACAAAGTTGTTTCTAAATTATTTCAACTCAGGAGTTAGGGAACATACAATTTGTGATTTTTCAGAAAGTGAAGCGACCTTTGGCTTTTGAACTAAAAACACCAACACAGCTCCGTATGTTCACCTTTAGAAAAAGAGGCTGCGAACCGCTTTTCTCCAGCACGAGGGAACTTACCTGTCTCCATCTTTCCGTCCTGGGCGGCGGGCCCGTCCGGAATCACGCTTTTCACCTGCAGGAACTCATCAGGCTCGTCTCCACCGATGATGGTAAATCCAAAGCCCATGTTGCTCTTTTTTAGGGTGGTGCTGAGGAATGTTCCCTTCAACTGGGATGCATCCCGCGTGAAGAGTGGTTTTTCTACATTGGCCGATATAAATTAAGAAAGGAAAAGCACGTCTAAGCACGTTCTCAGGTAAGAAAAGCTGCCCACTGGGCTGTAACCCCGCGTGTGGACGTGGGGACCTCGTACAGTCAATGCAAGCAAGGGTGAGCGTAAAAGAAGTGAGACTGTTAGAGCTTCCGGCAGGCTGAGCAGTCCCAAGCATCCAGGCAAGAAGAAGGCTGCCCCGTTTGCAGAGTGACTTTGTGTCAGACCAGCCTTCCTGTGCTGAGCAAGGGCTGCATCAACAGGCTGCCAGAGCCTCACACAGAGAGAACCAGGAGCCAGCATCAGACACGTTGAAGATGTTCTGCTCGCAGCTATAAAAGAGCCCAAGCAAGAGGTATATACTTGAGAGTGGCCCATGCTGCACAGAATCTTGACAAAATAGGTGCAGAAAACACCAAAACGGAGTGTTTCGGTTGTTGCTTTAAAGAGAACAACAGCCCAGCATCTAGGTCTGTGCAAGTGTCACAGGTAGCAGAACAGTGACACATGACCACATAGCCCAAGGTTCAAATTGTTTAGAAGTGTGCCTGGATGTGGGACTGCAGTCGTGTTAGTTACGCCCCTCATCATGAGATGCTGTAAAATAACCAGATAAATTCTCCATGGTGTTCATGTGCTCTAAAATGTGAGCAAAGGCAAGCTGGTTTCTAGATATAACTATGAATGTAAAGGTAACAAGTTCTTTTTCTAAACACTATCTTGACAATTCAGATTCTATGTCTGGGACTCACACATAGCTGGACGATGAATTTGTAATGCAGTAGGTTTTCCAGCTATGGTTGGCAATAAATGAATATTTCTAAGCATATGAAATGCTTTAAAAGTAACCGATGTGCTAAGAAACATGAGGAAGAAGAATTAGTTTCTCCCCCAAATCTCACTTCAGACCGGCATCTTATAAGATCCTTCTTTTAGTTGTTACTTTTGGGGTGATCTGATAGGTAGTATGAGGTGACTCAGGTATTCTGTATGACACTTTTGATACAGTTTGGGTGATACATAATAAACTGTAAGGCAGTGGAGCTCTGCTTTATCTGTCAGCTTACATATCACATTCAGCTTTATTAGAAATAGAAACTCTTCAAAATAGTCTGCATGTACTCTCACCTGCATTTATCAAACTCATCCCTTGTGGCCCTTTACATTCACATGACAACAGCAGGTACGCTGCAGGGGTGTGGTGTGGACCTTGCCCGTGGGATCCCGACTCCAGAGCCTCTTTTGGGTGCTTTTTGAAATAAACAGAAGCCATACGCTGTGAACAGTGTGTGCCATCGCATTCTGTAACTCTCAGGCACAGTCAGACCTGCACGTGGCCTAGGGACCTACCGAGTGGCCAGGGCCTCCCTGCGTGAATGCGCCAACAGAAAGACAGATCACTCACGCTGCGTGACCTCCCGAGGACAGAGCGGCGACAGGTGGATTTGGGCCTAGGTAATGATGAGGTGCTGCCTACTGTCACAAAGGAGAACGAGCCTTATTCTTGTGCTTGTTCTTTAGAAGACAAACTTACGAGTGTCTGCTTTTCTGTAGTTTACAGTCAACTGTCACAACCCACAGTCTGCTCCTGGCAGTGGGCTGTACTGTCCTAGAAGGGACTCCCGAGGCCTTCCCTGAGCTCTGGGTCCCAGCTGTGTTAGTTGGGAAATACTGCAAACCCCCAGCTAAATGGGAAGGATTGAGGAGAGTAAAGTATGCATTTGCATGGTGCAGCCTGGGGCAGGGTTTGTCACACAGAGCTCCCTTGCAGGCTACATGCAGATGTAGTACAGTACCTCGGAAACCTGGGGCCTGCAGGGGCTTGGTTCCAAGTTCCGTGTGGGGCATGTTATGCTGCTGTAGCTTCCTTTTTGCTTCCAGGACAGGGTTTTCAAACTGTGTTCTTCTATTTATGTGGCTAAAAAAGAAAATTTCAAATGAGGATAACAGCAGGGAAATGTTAGTTAAGAGAACACAAGGATGGGTTTACACAGAGCAGGTGATGAAGGGATACAATATCTGATCAGAGCCAGTGCCTCACCCAGCACGCAGCCCAGCTTCTGAAAAGGTGGACTGTGCCCCGTACATGTGCCTGTTGCCAGCACAGAGTTCCCAGTGGCTTCATCTTGCTAGTGTGTTCACATTATATGTGATTTAGCCAACAGAACCAAAATGTGCAGCTGCTTCCTGGCCTATGGTATTAATTTGAGATGGGTTTGATGGGTTCAAACAAACAACCAATCAACCAATGAAATTTATGCTGGATAGTACTGAGGCACATCATCTTAGCTTTGCAAAACTCCTCATCTCAGACAGGATCTATGTGCAATAAATTCACTGAGAGCAGAGCAACTAGAGCCCATGGTTTTTATACTCAGATCTGGATTGAAGGGTTGGGATCCAGGTTGCCAAGTTTATATAGGGAAGTCACAGAATACCAACGAGCTAGAGATGCTGAGATCTATCAGAAATGGAGCAGTCACCATCTACACGGTGACAGGCCAAGCTCAGACAGAAAGTGGTGGGAGCAACTGTGGCCCAGTTAACCTGAAGGCCTAGAGAATCAGAAAACTGTGTCCTCCTGTAAGGCAGGCTGTATTTGTCAGGGAGAGTAGAAACCACCATCTCTGCCTTGTGGTGGTGGCAGTTTTGCTTTATCTATAACATAAATGGATCTGGAGAGGACTGGCGGAGACATTTATTTTGATTCTTTGTATAAACAGATCGTGCTGGGAAAGCAAGAAGAGGAGAGACAGGTTAGTAAAGGAACTGACGGTTTCCAAGTATTTAACTCCACGTCACCTACTATATACAATGTTCTCAGCTAAGCCTCAGAACAATGCAGCCCTAAATTCTAATCATCTCCATTTTCAAAGCAATGAGACGGACACACAGAGAAATCAAATGACTTGTTTTAAATCACAGCCCAGTAATTGGAAATCTGGGATTTGACCATCACATCTATTTCTGGAAATGATCTCTTACCTATATATTTTCTCTCTTCAATGCATGATTTCACATTGGCAAGTGTAGGCGCTTAGTATGTGCACACGCACCACACGCAGACACACCCACTCCCACACCCACACCCACACACACACACACACACACACACACACACACACACTACTCATTAGGCTCTTCTAATAGTACACATCAGAAAGGAAGGAGATAAAAGAAGCAAAATTGGAGCAGCCAATTATCTATTATTATAAGTCAGATACTGTCTGGTGAAAGAGCAAAATGGCTGCAGAAAGTATGATAAAAGGTTTTAATATTTAGTCCTTTCCTTATAGTAGCTTGGCCAGGACAGCTGTCCGTCACGTTGGCCCTGGACTCGTGTGGTCTTGTATTCAAATTCCAGCCCCACCACTAGCTTGGTTGTGTGACCTTGGACAAATCATTGACCCTGCCTGTTCTTATGTCCCCACATGCCCTCCCTAACCTCTTCCGGCCACACTCCAGCTAATCATGCCCTTCTCCTGTGCTCCCATAAAGCCTTGAACTGACCTCTCTTGTAGTGTGATTATTTTCTTACATCATTCATCATTAAGAGGATCTGAGGAATTTTTAAAGAACAAGTAAGCAAAATTAGGGTAAATGTATTTGAATCTGAGCTCTATTTTGTTATTGAAGTTGTACTATAAAGTATTATTATTATTTTGTCCTTTTGAGACAGTGCCTCACTACGCAGTTTAGGTGAGCCTTGAGCTTGAGAATTCTTTGGGATACGTACTGTATGGTGCCTCCAACCTGTCACCTGTATATAATTATTTTATTGGAAAAATCAATGATTAGCCATCTGCTTTATGGAAACCACGCTGAAATTATTCCATTTGCCATCAAAGTAAGTTTTTAGAGTTTATGGAGAATGAAAAATACTAAGACCTAGTTTGGCATGGCTCAAATCTTACAAATAGTAGAAACTAGATGGATTTAGTTCCCCTGTGCTAATTGCTACAGAACATTTACATCATCATGAAAGAAGTCATTCCTCTAAAATCTCAAATATTCCCATTGTCTAAAAAAACTTCCTACAAAGAAATGTTATGGTAATTGAAAAGAGAAGAGTCATCTTTCTTATGCTCACACATTGAATTTTTTTATTTTAAAGGGAATTTGAAAAACAGTAAAGATAATACTGAATTTCAAAATAAGATTATAGAAAATTAGCAATGGTTATTACATTATATATTGTCGTCTTCAAAATAGTTGCGCAGGTTACCAGGTATATGCATGCAAAATTGATCAAACAATATAAGCACAAAATGGATGTTTTAAAAGCCTTTCTAGCTAGGATGTGAAGCTCTTACAGTGTGTACCAAGGATATGAGAGACAAATGTCATTTTCTGGTTCATTGGTTAATTCCTGAGGTAAGTACCACTATTTCATCTATCTTCCATATAAAACAAGAGCCTGGGAATCCACTATGAGTTCTCACCTACTCTTAATCTCATCTAGTCTTTTATATTTTACTCTGCAGATAAAAAGCCATAAGATCGATATTCTGATGTGGGCCTACCCTGGCGACTCCATTTTCCCGTGCAGAGGGGAAGCCCACGGACAGGAGAAGCCTCCGTGGTGGATGGCAAAGGGCTCTTACCTTCTCCCTTTGCCCTTCCATCCACTCCTCTGCACCGTGAGATGGAAACTTACAGTAGTTATTAGCATGTGGCACTGTCTTCAAAGTTTGGATCCACTTGAGAAGAATTACAAATAAAAAAGTTCAAACGATGCAGGCCACCCTACGGATCAATTGACTCATAACCTCAGAATGGAATACAAGTATTGATTTTTTTCTTTAAAAAAAAAAAAAAACCTTTGAGGTAACTCCAATGTGGTTCCAAGACTGCAGTCTTTTGAATTAGAAGCTATGAAAGTGCAAACAGGTATTGCATCAAGAGTTTCACACCTGGTAAGATGCATCTGGAAGTCTCTTTTTCAGCATGTAGCCTCTAAGCTCCCTAGGAAATACAATTTTGCTCCAGAAAATATCTTCTTGAGGCAGAAGTTTCAGACATACACAACGAGAAAAAACATTTGTAGCTGATTAGATGACATGCTGCTGAAGGTCGTCGCGGACCAGGGTCCTATTTGACCACCGCTTCCTTCACTGGGGCAGGGATGGATGCATGAAGAGAAGATCTGTGCATGCTGAGCCCTTCCGTGTCTGGTCTGCTGCAGGTCATCAAGCTGTTATCTGACCCCTGCCATCAGTGTCCTCCCTTGACACCAGCCTGTTCTTTCCCACCTTGCTTCCCCCAGGGCTTTGGAGAGGGCCATTTTCATGAATTATACTTTCATATCCATGGGCTACTGTCACACCTCTTGACTTCAGTTGGCCCTTTAGAATTAGACCTTTGGGTCAATATCAAAAGCAGAATAGAGAAGCTTTGATGTGAAGTCCACAGGCAAAACGTTTCCAATGTCATCAAGGCAGCTGTGCTAATTATTGCAAGGCATGAGCTTGCCAGTGCTTACAAAATATTTGTTGAATGAATGCACAGATGGAGTCAGGCATGCGTGGAAAGTGACAGCGTTCACTGTCTTTCACTTTTATGCTCTTGTCACACATGTAAGACGATGTGAAACTCAAGGCTACCTTACGTGATATAACCATTCTGCATTTGGGTAAACATCCAGGGGACTCTTCAGGCAGAGAATCTTCTTAAATACTCTAATAACATGGGAAAAGTCATCCCACTTCAGTGATAAAATACTTGGGGGCTCTTAACTGTGGTTGCTCTCTGCATCACAGCAGAGGTGTGCTCAGATGGAAAGGGACTATATTAGGGATCCATGAGGGAGTGTGGGGGGCCGTCACTGTACAGGGACTGGGAAGACTGGCTGGGAATGTGGCCTCGTAGCTTCCTATGTCACCCTTTCTCTGCAAGCTTACACCTTCTAAAGTTTCCTGAATGACAATACAAAGGGTGGATTTCCTGGCTGCCTAAAATTTTCTCTGCTGACCCTAACTATGAGTCCCTGCTTCTGCACTATTAACACCTCCCACCTGAACCCCTGGACTGCAGCTGAACTAGCAGCCAAACATACATAACACACCCTTGTTCTTTGTATTAGCAAAAGTCTGAAAAAGACTCCAAGTCAGTGGTGGCAAACCCTTGGCACATGTGCCACCGTGGGCTCTTTGTTATCAGTGAAAGCTCTGAAAAGTTCGCCATCACTGTTCTATGATGTTTTCTTTCAAGTGTGGGTAACTGGAATAAAACTGACTTCAAATGCAATATAACTGCTTCATGCTGTAGAAACCAAGGGAGGGTCACAGCCTTGCGAGAAAGCTCTGGGGCCAGTGTGCATCCCTGGAGGAGCCTGTCATTAGGAGCTTGGTCCCCATAGTCACCATGCTTACACTCACGTTCAAGCCCATCACACACGCTCACGGCATGTGGTCTTGGGGACAGCATTTACATCCTTTGTGCTTCAGAATTTTTTATTTGCAAAACTGGGATAAAAATAATATCAACCTCCTAAAGCTGCTCTGCATGTAAAATGAGTTAAAATGAGTGAACCACTTAAAGACAGTGTAAGCACTAACCACGATGATCCGGCAAATGCCAGTCTCTCCCATTACCTTTGGTAGGCATTGTGGTAGGGATGCAGGGAGGAGGAAGATGATAAACTGGGCATGAATTGTGCTGGAGGGGAGAAACGAGGAACAAGAAGAAATTATAAAATAGGGCTTGCATCATACAATCTATGTCTTCCTTCTAGTGCTGTGAAAACCTAACTATGACAAGTACTAGATTAAAGCATAGAGTCTTAAATATAAATGATTTTAAAATACGAGCTTTGGATGAATGGAAAAATTGAATCTACTTCACTTGGAGCATTTTTTAAACATAGAATAATTGAATGCTACGTCTTGAATGATTTCTCCCCGATTCTAACACTTAATT